GTTTCACCATGTTGACCAGGATGGTCTCGATCTCTTGACCTCGTGATCCACCCGCCTCGGCCTCCCAAAGTGCTGGGATTACAAGCGTGAGCCACCGCGCTCGGCCTACAAAAATTTTTTAAAAAATAGCTGGGCATGGTGGCACACCTGTAGTCCCAACTACTGGGGAGGCTGAGGCAGGAGGTTCATTTGAGACCAGGAATTCAGGGCTGCAATGAGCAATGATCACATTACTATTCTCCAGCCTGAGCAACAGCAAGACCCTGTCTCAAAACCAAAAATCCCTCTAACCTATAAAATAAGCACAGCAGGTCCTATTATATTTTACACAGGAGGAACTGAAGCTTGGAGAAGGCTTAAGCATACTATACAACCTCACACCCTCTCCTTATGTATCCAAATCTGTTTTAGCCCTAAGTTTCTATGCTGCCATTTTTCTCCGAACTCTCAAGTAAGCCCTATTAAGTACAGCAAAACTCCACCTTCTTGGCCCTTTACAGACTTACTCTTTAGGATAAAACCATTGTAGGGCCATGTGAAAGGAGAAGGCTGAAGGATCTAGACAAGCCAAATATCAGTTGAGAAATTAGGATCGTTACATCTCATCCACTACCAGATGTCTTTCTTATCTTAGCCAGTCTAATTTTTATGATTAAAAGTATCATAGCATTCAGGGGAAAACAACTTGGCAGAAACTTGCTGCTTACTTATCTAACATCTTTTTCTCCCCTTCTTCCATACCAACATAACCCCTCTTTTATTCTAGGTGGCACTATGCCCAGCTTTGAAAAAAATACATTTTCTGGACCTTCTTTCAGCTAATGGGAACTGTGTGCCACAGTGCTGATCAGTGATATGGAACCAAAAGTCCCTGGATGAGACTTCCAGGAAAACTCATTAAAAGGAAGGAGAATCAGCTGGCAGGAGCCTTTTGCTCTATGCCCTCCCCTTCTTCTTGCCTAGAATTCACAGATGATATTGGTGGTCAAACAATCATCTTCAAATCATACAGAAACGATGAGGAGTAAGGCCATACATTAAGGGTAGCAGAGCAGAAAGAATGAAGATATTTAAGACCCTGATGACAACAGCACCACACCATCCTAAGACCACCTTCTTCAGGACTTTTCACATGAAAAAAATTTACGCCTTTATTTGGTTAAGCCACATCTGATGGGGTTTCTGTTTATGACTATGTAATTGCAATCCCTGAATGATACACCCACAATTCCACCAATTTAAGTAAATGGTTTTCACTTTAGCCTATTACATTCTTGTTTTTTGCAACTATATTATCATAACAGTAATCATAGCACAAACTTTCCTATTTTGATAATCCTATGTAGTAGTAACAAGAATTAAATATTAATTGAGGCTCAACCTATATTCATTTCCTCTATAAGTTTTTTCACTTGAACTTATAACAAAAATTTACCCACATAGTATCATAATCTTCACCATTTTTTAAGAGTACCTTAAAAAATCCATTGTATTGATGTAATTTATCTGCTATCTCAATATATGATGCACTTAGATTATGTATTAGTCCATTTTCACACTGCTATAAAGATACTACCTGAGACTGGGTAATTTACAAAGAAAAGAGGTTTAACTGACCCATAGTTTCACATGGCTGCAAAGGCTTCAGGAAATTTATAAACATGGCAGAAGGTAAGGGGAGGCAGAAGAGAGAGAGTGCACAGGTGAAACTGCCACTTTTAAATCATCAGATCTCATGAGAATTCCCTCATTATCATGAGAACAACAGGGGAAAACTGTCCCCATGATCCAATCACCTCCCACCAGGTCCCTCCCCTGACACATGGGAAATATAACTTGAGATGAGATTTGGGTGGGTACACAGAGCCAAACCATATCATCCCATCCTGGCCCTTTCCAACGCTTGTATCCTTTTCACATTTTAAAACCAATCATGCCTTCTCAACAGTCTCCCAAGGTCTTAACTCATTTCAGCATTAGCCCAAAAGTCCAAGTCCAAAGTCTCATCTGAGACAAGGCAAGTCCCTTCCACTTAGAAGCCTGTAAAATCAAAAACAAGTTAGTTATTTCCAAGATACAATGGGGGTACAGACATTGGGTAGATGTTTTCATTCCTAATCTTCTTCAAATAGGAGAAACTGGCCAAAACAAAGGGAACAAAGGCCCCACATAAGTCCAAAACCTGGTGGGGTAGTCGTTAAATCTTTTTTTTTTTTTTTTTTTTTTTGAGATGGAGTCTCCCTCTGTCGCCTGGGCTGGAGTGCAGTGGTGCAATCTTGGCTCACTCCACCTCCCAGTTCAAGCAATTCCCCTGCCTCAGCTCCACAAGTAGCTGGGATTACAGGTGTGCACCACCACACCCAGCTAATTTTTATCTTTTTAGTAGAGATGGGGTTTTGCCATGTTGGCCAGGCTGGTCTCACCTCAGATGATTCACCTGCCTCAGCCTCCCAAAGTGCTGGGATTATACGCGTGAGCCACTGTGCCTGGTCATAATCATTAAATCTTAAAGCTACAAAATGATCCCCCTTGACTCCATGTCTCACATCCAAGACATGCTGATGCAAGGGGTGGGCTCCCAAGGCCTTGAGCAGCTCCACCTCTGTGGCTCTGCAGGGTATAGCCCTCATGGCTGCTTTCACAGGCTGGTGGTGAGTGCCTGTGGCTTTTCCAGCTGCATGGTACAAGCTGTCAGTGGAGCTACCATTCTGGGGTCTGGAGGACAGTGGCTCTCTTCTTACAGCTCCACAAGGCAGTGCCCCCATGGAAATTCTGTGTGGGGGCTTCAACCCCACATTTCCCCTCTCCATTGCCCTGGTAGAGATTCTCCATGTGGGCTCTGCCCTGCAGCTGACTTCTGTCTGGACAACCAGGTATTTTCATACATCTTCTGAAATCTAGGCAGAGGTTCCCAAAGGTCAACTCTTGTCTTCTGTGCACCCTCAGGCCCAACACCACATGGAAATTGTCAAGGCTTGGGGCTCGGACCCTCTGAAGCAACAGCCTGAGCTGTACCTTGGCCCCTTTTCACCACAGCTGGAGCTGGAGCAGCTGGGATGCAGGGTACAAAGTCCCAAGACTGCAGAGAATAGCAGGGCCTTGGGCCTGGCCCACAAAACCATTTTTTACTCTTAGGCCTCTGGACTGTGATGGGATAGGCTACCACAAAGATCTCTGACATGCCCTGTAGACATTTTCTCCATTGTCTTGGCTATTAACATTCAGCTCCTTGTTACTTATGCAAATTTCTGCAGCCAGGTTGAATTCTTCCACAGAAAATGGGTTTTTCCTTTCTACAACATGGTCAG